TTTAACAAGTTACAACAGAAAGGAACTGTTGAGGAATATGAGGAGAAGTTTGAAGAACTAAAAACTCTAATGCTGATAAAAAAACCCTAGGTTGGATGAACTTTACTTTGTTTCTAGTTTTATTAGTGGCCTCAAGGAAGAGATTAGACCTATGGTGAAGATGTTTAAACCACAAACATTGATGAAGGCCTTTGAAGTTGCTGAGTTGCAGGAGTGTTCCCTGGAAATCCAGTCGAAACAGAACAGAACTTCAGGGAGGGGTGCAGTGGAAACCAAGTTTGGGATGTATAGGAACACTATGAATGATCAAGGTCGCCCAAACTCATATAAATTGCCTGGCGTCACTCTTGTTCCCAAGAAGATGGATGCAGTACACAGGGAATTTAGTAAGATATCAGTAGAGGAAATGCAGTATAGGCGTAAGCACAATCTGTGCTTTAGGTGTGGAGAGAAGTTTGGAATAGGGCATCAATGTAAGAAAGGGAGTCTGAACTGTGTGAGCACTGAGGAGGAGGAGGATACTGAATTTGAGGACGCGGAAGGGGAACAGGATGAGTTAACAGGAAGGGTTAAGGAACTTGCAGAAGTCTCTTTGAATGCTCTGTCTTTGGGGCCATAAGGAGGAAATCCATCCTGGTGATAGGGAACCTAGGGGTGACTTCCAATCAAGATTTTGGTGGACACAGGCAGTTCTGATAGTTTCATTCACCACAGGATTGTCAATCTATTGCACCTACCATATCAGGCAGTCAGTCTCTTCACTGTGACTCTAGCAGATGGGACTGATATTACCAGTGGAGCTATCAGTCCCAGTGTGACTTGGTTAATCCAAAACTATCAATTCCAGTTTGACTTGAAAGTAATGGAATTAGGGGGATAGGATATAATTTTGGGGGTGGACTGGACGTGCCAGTTCAGTCCCATTACATTTGATTTCCACTCTCTCAGCATTGCCCTTAGTGATAGGGGTGATTTACTGCACCTCCAGGGATTTGTGAATCAACCTGCTATGGAACTGGTAAGGGGCAGGGATCTCAGGACGTTTATACAGGAGAAGCAAAGAACTATGAACTGGAAAACTCATGGCTGGCTATTTCGATTTTTTGACTAGGAAAACTCATGAACTGGATTTTGATATCGTCATAAGAAATGTAGAGTTATGTATTAGCTTCAAAAATGACTGAAGAATCACCTCAATCTGATGGTTATTGCAAATTATAGCCAAAATACCAAAAGGCATCAAAACTGTCAAATATTTCTACTTTTATACTTGATTGCATTTCATCTTTTGAACATTTTGCACTTCATGTCTTCTTTAAATCACTTTAAATCATAAACAATCATCCAAATATCTTTTCAATTCACTCCATTAGGTGATTGAATCATTAAAACCTACAAAAACATGAAGTTTTCACCATTTTAATCTATAGAAATGCAATTTTTCACATTTAAACCACAAAATATTATCTTCACTACAAATCTAGTTAATTAGCTATAAAAATAAATAAAACACACAAAAACTAAATAATAAAATACACTTAAATCACTCAAAATGCAAACTTATCAGTAGCCAAACAAAGATGATGATGAGAATGAAGATGGAGAGATTGGAACTTAAGTGACATGGGTGACATTTTTTCTATCACTTTATTTCTTTTATCGATTCTCATGCTTAGTGAATATACAAGTTTGGTTGTTGTTTGTGTTTCATTTGTGTTCTAATAGTTTGAATACCAAGGGAGTGGATGAACTTCTAAAATTATTAAGTGAAGTTTTCGTAGTTATTTCACCTTATTTCTTGAGTAAGTTATTTAAAACTTTTGTGTTACAATCATAATTAATTTGGCACCATTAATTGTGATCTTCTTAAGGTGTTCTTTCATCAATAACTATTATGACTCAATACTAGTTTATGAGAGTGTTAAACCTAGAGAATTAACTCACTAATGTAGAGCTATATCTTTGTGGTTTTGGTGGCTTGTTCCATGCAATTTCATAGAATTTAATGAATTTATAGCTATTTCATATCACGTTAGTAGGTATGGAGTTGTTATAGGGATGATTGGTATGTTGACAAAAGCATATATCACATACATTTCGAAATAATGCCATAACTAACCAAGGTAAATGAACTCATTTAATTGGTAATTTCTCTTGTAAGAGTAGCTAGTAAATCCATAATCCTAGGAATGTTTTTACTATTATTTTTACTACTTTTCTTCCATATTAATAGAGTAAATTTACTTGCTTTATTTGCGATAGTCTAAATAATGGAGGAGCTCGAAACCATCAGTAATTGACAATTTTTCATACAAGATCGACACCTAATATCCTTTAAATTCAATAAACAATTTATATACTTGCAAAAAATATGTCATTTAAATTTTTAAGATTCGCGATGAAGGAAAAACCTCCTCAATAACAAAATTTTATGTAACCTCTTGTGCAAGGTAAGAATATTGCGGCAAGAGATGATTTGAATAAGGATTAAGAAGGGATTAAAAAATAGTCTTCAACCGAACTTTGTAAACACATAACCATGCAACTTTGCAAGGTAAGAAAATTGTAGCAAGAGACGTTTTACCTAAACCATGCATGCAACTTGCAATAATTTATAAAATTTTTTAATTTATTTTATGTGGACGTACTTGGCTTTTACTGGGCACCTCCTGTAATTTCACACCGTCCATGTGCGCGGTGTCCCCTCCTAGTGATCAATAATTTCTTTTATATACAAACTCAAGGTAGACCTGGGGCAGTTCCAGCTACCGGTCTCACCCTTGTAACTTATTGAATGTTAATCGCCACTATTATATTCTACCCTATAATCTCAACTCAATTACATTTGGACCGTTAAAGTTGGCAATTGCAGAGGGACTCCCTTTGGCTGTTCTGCAGAGAGATTACATCTGGACCGCTAATGTTGGTAATTACATCTAGGTGGATCTGGACCGTTCTAGTTTTGTCACTTATTCCTTTATTATTCTACAATTTCATTCTATAAATACCATCTCCCGTCGCATTGCTTAGCACCCCAGATCCTCTTCAAGAACTACACATTTCTTCAAACCCTTTGTTCCTGAAGAGAACTTTTGTTTATTCCCAAACACCAACCAAGGCATCATGGCCCCTCTCACTTGTGATTATGAGGTCCCCTGCTCAATCCCTCCTGCAAGGTTGTTCAAGGCCTTCTTCCTTGATGACCACCTCATTACCAAGATGCTGCCACAGGCCATTAAAAGCGTCGAAATCGTTGAAGGAGATGGAGGAGTGGGATCCATCAAGTTGATCACTTTTGGTGAAGGTTAGTTCTAAATATTCACTTAATCATCATTTCATTATTTTTTGTCCATAAATTCTTATAATTTTATATATATATATATATATATATATATATTTTAACTTTGTTGAATGTTTAGGTAGTCATTATAAGGGTTTAAAACAAAGAGTCGATGGAATTGACAAAGACAACTTCACCTTCAGCCATACTATTCTTGAAAGTGATGCCTTCAGTGATAAGATTGAAAAAGTAGCTAACGTGATTAAAATCGAAGCTTCAGCTGATGGAGGGTCAATCTGTAAGACCACCAGGACATGCCACCTCAAGGGCAATACCGAAGAACGAATTGTGGGAGCAAAACAGGAAATTAAGGCAGCAAAAGAAATGTCCTCAGCCATGTTCAAGGCTGTGGAAGCCTACCTCATCGCAAATCCTGATGTATACAACTGATCAATGCTGCTTCATATATGTCCACATACTTGTTGGATGATTGAAATAAACATATTGAGGATCTGTTTTCTTTGGTAGCTCTTTTCCTGAGCTTCAATTGTTGGGTAATGCGATTTTAATGTATCATCAAAGTGTGTTTTGCTTGTAATATTTTACCGGTCATCAATAATAAATCTTGTTTGAAGCTTTGATTTATGATTGCGCCGTGAGTGACACCTAAATTTTTAATGCCTATGTTGAAATTTGAAGCACCCCTATTGATTGGAGAATCCTTAGGAGATATCTATCACCATTTTAGCAATTGCCCAAAATTTACTTGGTGACGAAAATGATGGTTTAATAAGGTTAAGAAATGTCAAAAGTTGGCTAGTTCTTCAGTGTCTGTGGATCCATAGTTTCTGTTAATTATAAATGTCTACAATTGTTGCATCATTGACTATTAGCACCCATAAGTATGCTTATGTCATTGACTATCTAGCCTCCAACTCGGATGGAGTGCTAAGAAAATACGAAAAAAATGAAAATTTTGTTTTAAAAAACAGCCATATATAGTTATTTATACAATTATTACTAAAGTGGTCCAATCAAATCCCTTTTTGAGTATAAGGGATTTCAAACCGAATTTAGCAACTTTCATACTCGATTTTGCCAGTAAGAAGGTGTCACCCAGTGGTGGAGCTAGGAACTAATTTTGGGGGGCGGGGGGAAGGGGAGGTGAGTCTCTGTTATTTGGATCAAGTCCAAATAACTTTCAAACATTTTGTTTGGACCCTTGGGAGGCAAATTGAATTTTTTGATCAATTTTTGGGGGGTAAAACATAATAATAATAATTTTTTTACTTAGAATTTTTTTTAAACAATTGGAGGGGGGCAGCCAATTTTGTGGGGGGGGGGGGTGAGCCTCTGTTATTTGGATCAAGTCCAAATAACTTTCAAACATTTTGTTTGGGCCCTTGGGGGGCAAAGTGAATTTTTTGATCAATTTTTGAGGGGGCAAAACATAATAATAATAAAATTTTTACTTAGAAATTTATTTTAACAACCCCCTGGCCCCCCCTTCCCTCCGCCCCCAAAAATTGATCAAAAATTCACTTTGCCCAATACTAGTTCTCCAAAAAAGTTTTGGGGATTAGTTTTTCTTTTTGCCCAGCGCATTTCGCGGCTACCACCAGGTCCATTTGCATGGCCGGTCATAGGCAACCTTTTCGACCTTGAATGGAAGAGTGCACATATTTCTCTCGCCAAGCTTGCACAATCTTATGGGCCTATAATGTCTTTGAGATTCGGCGCAAGACTGGTGATAGTTGCATCATCACCAGAAGCTGCTAGAGAAGTACTCAAGACTCATGATCGGGATCTATCCGGAAGGTACGTTCCTCAAATATTGAATCGAATCCCACAAATTCACACTTCAATCATGGGATTGGCGACAGATTGCAATGAGAGGTGGAAGTTTCTACGCATCACTTCCCACATGGGGCTTTTCTCAGCTATGGCGCTGGAATCGTGTTCACGAATCAGACTAGAGAAGGCCAAAGAGATGCTACACTTCTTGGGTTCAAAAGAAGGTGAAGTGGTAAATATTGCAGACATTTTATTTGCAACTACTGCTAATACTTTGACTAATGCTATGGTGTCCCAAGGTATTGTCGAGTCTTGGAACAATATTGGAGAAGTGAAAAGGAAATCAAGGAAAATGCTTGGGATTGTAATTCTAAGCTTAGCCGACCTTTATCCTGCAATTGGGGGTTTAGATTTTTGGATTAAGCAAAAAGCAGCAGAGGCTAACCAAATATACAGAGCCGTATGGGGTGATATTGTAAGCAAGAGAAGAGGAGGGAGGCAGGACTCGAACCAGGACATTTTAGACGTCCTGATTGAAAGTTCCTTTGATGATTATCAGATCTACAATTTCCTGTAGGTATGTAAGGTCTATCTCCTAGATTTTCTACTTTGATAATATGATTTCTCATTGCTTTTAGATATACACATTGGCATCTTGCATTAGCGTACTGTTTCACTAAACTGAAGACAAATAGGGTGCTGGAGTCCACAACCATTAGATTGGGATTTTCCTGTTACTACAGATTAGTTGTATTTCTTACCTAATTTAGTGTATACTCATATAATTTGTAGAAAAATAACAAGCATATGTTATAAATTAGTACATTTTTAAAAACAATAACGTACCGACAAACCGCGATTAAATAGACAAATAATAGTATTATATTATATTACCACTCACAATTGTAACACTAAAGGCCGAGGTCTCTTGGGCTTTCGATCTTAACCTTGTTTCCACCAATGAACGAAACCTCATTAGTGGTCTACCGGGATCATTTGAATAGAATAGAAATAGTAAAAGAATTTTTTTTTTTTTTTTGGGTAAGTACTCATTATTGAACAAGAGATTTAACAAGAACTCACGATTGATCTTTCTAACTTTTATACACTGCAGGAGCTTTTTCCCAGTTCTGAAGCCGTTAGCTCAGTAGTCGAATGGGCAATGATAGAATTAACAAGAAATCAAGAAGCCTTTTCCAAACTTCGTGATGAAATCATGACAAAAGATATTGAAGGAACTGCTTTAAGTGAGAAACGCCTAACCAAGCTGCCATATTTACAGGCCTGTATAAAAGAAACACTTCGATTGCATCCTCCGGACCCAATTCTTGTGCCTCGTTGTGCATTGCAAACTTGCCAGATCATGAACTACCGAATTCCAAAGAATAGCTTGGTGATTGTAAATGCTTATGCCTTAGGACGAGATGAAAAGACATGGGAAGATGCTCAAAACTTCAAACCAGAACGATTCCTCGGCAGAAATTTTGACGTTAAGGGAACCCACTATGAACTTTTGCCATTTGGTGGAGGTAGAAGGATGTGCCCTGGGCAGCACTGGGCTCTTACGGAGATTCAGTTGCTTCTTGGATCATTGGTCTATGCATTTGATTGGTTGGTTCCCCCAGGAACGGACCCAGAAAGTCTTGATATGAGCGAAAAATTGATTGCCATCACATTGAAAAGGGAAAAGCCTCTGCTTTTGATTCCGAAAATGAAAAATGACGTATCTCAAGATTGGGCTGAAGCACTTGGAACCAAAGGGTTCTAGTTTCAGGTTCCATTGAATTTATATGAGCGAACAGTTCAACTTATGGTTGTGATAAATGTGTTGTTGTGTACGGTTCTTGAATATGTTACATGTTTTAATGTATCCTTATGTAAATCTATATGTTATATGCAATTGTGTTATGTGAGGTTATGTAAAGTTGTTGTATATGTTATATGTTTTGGTTCACCGTTATTTTGTTGTACGTGTGATGTTTTCTTTTTCTTTTTGTCAAATTCTAATATATAAGTATACACCAAATTCTGTAAAAGTATAGTGACAAGGGTTTTCTTTCACTCCAAATTTTAAAAAACCTAAACACCCTATTTTCTACAAATATATAGATCATTTATCGAATATAGAAAATATTAGATCTCGATCCCATACGGAAGAATGATCAATTATTAGTGATTTTCGAACTACTTTATTATTTAGGCTATCTTAAATGTAAGAAATTAAATCTACACTGCAAACATGTAATAAAATAGAAGTAAAAATAACAATAAAAATGCTCCTTAGGTTATGAAATTCCTAACTACTTTTGCTAGTAAAATTTCAGGTTAAATGAGTGTTGTTACCTTGGCTAAGTTATGATATAATTTCATAATATATGTGAAACCTATTCGCACAGTGATTCAACTATACTTATAGTTAATCCATACCTACTTTCATGGTTATGAAATTAACTACAAATTCATTAACTCCTATGGAATTATATGGAACAAACCTTCAAGGCCATAAAGATGCATCTTTACTCTCGTGAGTGTATTCTCTAAATTTAGCACTTCCTTGAACTAGCCCTATATCACAATTCTCATTGCAAACTTAATACCTTGAAATGATCACAATTAATGACTAGTTAACCATGATTTGATAACTAAAAGTGCTAAATAATTTGCTCAAAATAATATCATCATATAACAAAATAAACATCACAAGAAAGATATAAAAAGTTCATTCATAACTCTAAGTATTAACTTTAACAAAATATAAGCAAAAGAAAAGCCAGATCCAAACTAGTAATATAACTAAACTTGAAATCCAATACAAGAAAGAAATTTCAGGTTAAATGAGTGTCATTACTTTGGCTAAATTATGACATAATTTTTTAATGTGTGTGAAACCTATTTTCGTAGTGTGTCAATTATACTTATAGCTAATTCATACCTACTCTTATGGTCATGAAATTAACTACAAATTCATTAAATTCTATGAAATTACATAGAACAAACCTTCAAGGCCATAAAGACGCACCTCTATTTTTGTGAGTGTATTCCCTAGATTTAGTAGTTCCTTGAACTAGCACTAAATCTCAATTCTCATTGCAAAGTTAATATCTGGAGATTATCACAAAAGTGTTAAATAACTTATTCAAAATAATAACATACACACGCGCACATATATTATCAGAGAAATCAACTCAAAGTTGTATAATAATAATAACATCTTACATAACTTAGAAATTTCATCAAATTCTATTACATACTGAAATCCAAAACCCTAACCTATTATAGGGATTAACTGATGAACCTAATGTTCATCAATTTCCTAAACATATCCTATTAAGCAATAAACAAATATAATTTGAATAACAGTCATTAATAAACCTAGCCAACTACTTGTCCAAATAACGTTAATTAAAATAAAGGTCAAATCTTCCTAAATCCTCTTTATTGCTTGTCTCCTGGGATATTGATACTAACATCGACTGCTCTATCTCCCAAATTCTCCTCATCGATGCCATCCTCACCACCCAATTGATCTTCTACCGAATAATCACCAATCGGTACATCCTATAATGATTCCTCCTTAGGGTGAGACTCTGGTTCGCTATCTGTCTTGCTATCACTATCGAGCCATAACTGAGCCCATCTTGACAACTGAGTTGCAAGTGTCATAGGGCTTTCTATCCAAATAAAGATAGGTTGCCTCCTTTTCTCTAATTTCATGGTTAATGCATGATAGGAAGCATCACGCTCATCAAGGAGGGTATTCATCTCCTAGTATCGTTCCAGATACATGTTAGCAAGAGCCTTTTGCTCATCCCTCTCTGCTTTGGGATAGTTGACCTCCTTACACAGAGTTTCATTGCTTTACCTTAAGTGTTCCATAGACACAAATAAAGTGCATATCTCGTTTGTCTAATTAGCTATCCAGCTTGCCAGTGCCTCAGTCTTCATAACCTTGTCGGTGGCTCGTTCTAACTCCTTGAGGTATAAATCTCTATAAACCTCTGCTTCTTCCTAAGACGAGTCATATCGCATCCCATCAAATGAACTTGATAGTCACAATCCTGGTTCTCCACATGGATTAGATCAACCATTTTTCTACAAAATCACAATACTACCATTAGTAGCTACTTCAATTTAAACCACATGTATAGACCTTTCAAGCCTAATCTTTTCAGCTACAACTTATCATTTTCCTAGTATGTGACTCTCCTAAATTATCAATCTTAACCTGGCTCTGATATCACTAAAAATGTCATACCCCTAGTCTACACATGCCAAACATAGGGCATTTGCTATACCTTCAAGATTCTCTCGAGAACACATGGCAACAATAATAATCGAGCAATACTACTTTAATAAGCAATAATATGACTACTTAAAGTGGAATACATAAGTAAAACCCAGTGGATTAGCTGTTTTTGGGTTTGTTTTTCAAAAACACCACTGTAGCATTTTGAATCTGAAAAACAAGTCCGTTTGGATTAGTTGTTTTTTGGGTTGTTTTTCAAAAACTATATGAAAAACTTTTACTATAGATTTTTTTGGATTATTTTTAGAGGTATTTTTGAAACATATTTTTGAGTATTTTTAGAATATTATAATTTTATATTTTTATATAAATATACATTTATGCATTTATAATACATTTATATTTACAAATGTATAGATGTATATTATTATAAATGAATAAATTATAAATGAATATTATATAAATGTATAAATGTATAAATTATATATTTTTATACAAATATGCATTTATAATACATTTATAGATATTTATAAATAAATATATTTATATATTCATATAAAAATATATAAATGTATTATATTATATATAATACATAATATAAATATATTTATAAATGTATAAGTGTATATTATTATAAATGTATAAATTATAAATGAATATTATAAATATATTATAAATTATAAGTGTATATTATTATAAATGTATAAATTAATATATTAGAAATATATACTAATATTATGTAGAAATGTATTTATATAATTAATATAAATATATATATGTATTGATATTATGTATAAATGTAAAATTAATATTATGTATATTAATATAAATGTATAAATGTATTATATTATATATAATACATAATATAAATGTATATTTAAATGTATAAGTGTATATTATTAAAAATGTATAAATTATAAATGAATATTATATAAATGTATAAATTAATAAATTATAAATATATATTAATATTATGTAGAAATGTATTAATATAATTAATATAAATATATACATGTATTAATATTATGTATAAATGTAAAATTAATATTATGTATATTAATATAAATGTATAAATGTGTTATATTATATATTATACATAATATAAATGTATATTATAAATATACATAAATATTTATATATTATGTATAAATGTACATTTATATAAATGTATAATATATTATATATTATATTATATATAATTTATATAACATATAATATTTATGTAAATATATTATAAATATATAAAAATATATTATAAATAAAATATTTATAATATGTATGTATAAATATATAATATTAGAAATGTATAATATATATAACATACATTATTATTAATATAATTTATGTATAATATACATAATTGAAATATACATATTAATATATATTAATATATATTATAAAACAAAATTGAATAAATGTATTTATAAATTTATATATAAATAAATGTATTTATATAAATATATAATATTTATTTCAATTGATATAATATATATAATATTATACATAATTGAAATAAATATATTTATATTAATATAATATATATAATATACATAATTGAAATATACATATTAAAATACATAATTGAAATATACATATTAAAATATATTAAAATATAATTGAAATATACATATTAAAATACATAATTAAAATATACAAATTGAAATATACTTATTAAAATATAAAAATTAAATATACATAATTGAAATATATTTGGAGTTGTTTTTGATATATTGTTTGGATATGATGTTTTTGAAGTTATTTTTGAAATACACGTTACTGTAGCATTTGGAATGTGAAAAACAGTTTTTCAAAAACAGATGCAAAAACACCCAATCCAAATGCAGCCCAGGTTTTTAAACTCGGATCGGATCGGTCAGTCGAACGGGGAACCTGCCATGTGTCCGGTCCGAGTTATCCTAAAAACTTGGATGGCAAAAACTTGGTCAAACCTGGTCAAAATCCGGGTTAGTCCAGAAATCGGTAAAACAGATAAGGACTGGAGCCTTTTCATTTTTCCTTTCCTTGATTCTTTCTCTATTCACCTCTAACTATTGATCTCACCTCATACAAATCCAGTTTTACTTTTTTTCACTTTCTTCAATTCAGCCATCAAAATATTTTCTCTTAAACAAGATCTAATCCTAGATGTTGCATCTAAAAGGAGAAAAGATTTAAAAAAAAAAAGCAGAAAAGAGAGATGGAGATGAGAAGTTTGAAGAAAACAAATAAAAAGTTTGATATTTTATGAGTTTGAAAATAAATAACTAACAAAACAAGAATGAAAATGAAAAAAAAAAAAAGAAGAATGAGTCAAGAAAATGGTAGGAGAAGAAGATGATGATGCAGGGATAGTGGAGTGGTGAAGGCTTGTGCGGCAGGCTTGGAAGAACTAAAAAGGAACATGAATGTGGGTCGAAGCTTTTTCAACATTAAGTTTTGACCTAATATGGGGTCAAAGTTTTTTAATATTATGTTGTGACCCCTAGGATGCTAAAAACTATTAATATAACTGAAATTTGTCATGGTCTATAAATATTGTCCTAAAGTTTGGTGTGATTTTTCAAATAAGTCC